TTTTTTCCCCCCCCCCCCCCCCCCCCCAAAAAATGATTTTTGCTTTTCGTAGTATTCCATTTTTTAGAGTTTAGTCGTAATCTACATCGAATTTCATCGACAGATTTAAAATTTCATCTCAAAATATGTATCCGTTCAAAAGTTATAACGTTTTGAATTTTTACAACATGTCGCAAAAATTTTCATAAAAATTCAAAACCTTATAAGTTTTGAACAGATGCATATTTTGAGATGAAATTTTAAATCTGTCGATGAAATTCGATGTAGATCACGACTAAACTCTAAAAAATGGAATACTACCAAAAGCAAAAAAAATTTAGAGGGGGGCTAAGAAAAAAAAAAGATTTTTTTTCGCAAGCTCCGGTCGCAAAAAATTTTTCATAAAAACTCATCATTTGGGTCCAATATCACCCTCCATAAGTTTCATTTGGATCCCATGCTCTGAAGCTGAAATCCAGCATGTACAAAAATCCTGGCTACGCCACTGGATAATGTTGAGTTAAGTTTTTTTTTTAAAGATTTTCAGCTCGAATTTTGCTAGAAATAAATTAATTATTGGAATCTTCTATTACGCCTAACAGATTGTTTCTCTATAGGAAGGGTAACTGATTAGGACGATATTCAATGCATTTTTTTAACTGTTAAAATAGAAATATAAATACTCGTCATTGTTTTTATTTGTTTCTTTTTCATCTAGATAATACTGTTAAAAAACCTGATGATAAAAATTTTCTAACTAAAATTTGTTTTTGTTATCGACAAGATTGGATATAGAAATTTTCTGTAGACATACTTTTGTTGAGTTTTAGTAGTTTTTGTAATTATTACATCAATTGAAATAATATCAATATTAATAGTTACATTTCGAGGAATCATATTGAATTTTAAATTTGTCTAAACAAAAAAAAGAAAATATTAAGAAACAAAATTAAAGAGTTTAATTTGATATTTTCTTTACTAAATATTCAAGAGATTGAATAGTTGCACTTGTATTAAACATATGTTTTGGTTTACACACAGATTCAACAATTGTGTAATCAATTCTAAAATAATTTTGATAATATTGTTTTAATGATCTTTGTTTTGAAACTGTTGATGTTTTCGGTATTTGTGTTTGCATTGATTTTGTTCTATTTATTTATTTATAATTAAAATAAAAGACAAAAAAAAACAGAAAAATGTTTTACTCTTTTGGTTGCATAACAATTTTTTTTGTTGTAAGTTCGTTTTCAGTTTGTTGCGTAAAAGATGATATTAAGTAAAGTCCAACACCGAAATTAAATATGGTAACGCAAAATATTAGAAACATTCTCCGTTGTTGACGATCACATTGACTATTAAAAAAAAGTAAAAATATTAATTAAAGCTTGTTAGGACAGCCTCATTGAAGTTAAAATGTGGAACTCACATATGTTTCTTAGCCTCATAATATTAATAGAAAATATCTAAGGTGAAAAATCTCTAGTGGACTATAGTTGTTTTCCAAAGATATTTGATCGTTCTGGAAATTTTTTTCTTTTTTTACTAGTGCTTTAGTTTTTGCTTGTCTTACTGCTATTCACTTGCTGTTTTTCTTAATTTAACATTATTATTATTATTCATACCATTGAAAAATAAGACTATTTTACATATCTAATTTATCTAGAATAGATCTCAATGCACTATTATATATCTTATTAAGCTAGCAAATAATGCTATTGATTATTGTCCAAAAGTATTAACTTAATCAGTTCGTGCTTTTTATGTTGATTATATAACGACTGTGGTCAATCAATATATCATTACCGATCAGCCTTAACATGTTAAATATAAATTTTTATCTTTGTAAAAGTAAAAAACTATGCTGTTTAGAACACTTATAAAAGTATTTCAGTCATTCAAATTTCAAGACAGACTTTGCAATGTCTAAGTCTTGTTAGCTCAGTGCCTTGTTTCGTTGTTAAGAAACTCTGGAAAAAAGAAATTTGACATCTATTGTCCTCGGTTACTTTCTCGCTGCATATCCTCACTTTTGTTGCTATGAGAAGGAACTCCAAAACCTTGAATTAAAATTTGCACTCGCTATATTTTTCCTCGAAAAACATAATGCAAGTTCCACAAAAAAAATTAAGAATTAATTATGAAAATTAAAATTTACCATAAATTGGATCGAAATATTTTCATTGCAAATGTTCGATAATCACAAGGGCTAAATTTTCTATCTGAAAATATTATATGAGAGAAAAATAAAGAAAAACGTCATGAACACATATCATATAAATAAAATGATAATATTCATTATCTTACATGCATACATCAATTAAATTTTTTTTTAACAAGTTTGTAGTATAAAAATGTCGATTAAAATTAAATCAATAATAAGTGCGCAACTACGTTTTTTTTTAATAGTTTATCATATGAAATAAATCTTGATCAAACAGCTCTTTAGATAATATAAAATCTTTCTCGTATTGAATGATAAATTGATATAGCAATGTACGAAGAAAAAAAACAAACTAAAGAATAATAAACTTGTGTACTATTTCACAGCTGACTAATTATTTATTATCAGTACTTTTTCTTGTCTATGACTCGTTCCTATTAGCATCTAACAATTATGTATTGAAAAAAAAAAAGGTACTATTTATTATTAATTAAAAAGGTTAAAAGAAAAAATTCTTCTAACTCTATTTTATTTCATTATAAAAACTTATGTAAGTTGAAATTGTTTGGTACATAACAAAATAGTCTCGAAAAAAAAAAGTGTCTGATGTTTTATAAAAGTGTAACGGAAATTAATATGATACGCATTGAAATTTGTCTCATTGCTACACCAAGGTGGGCACACGAAGATCTATATCATTGCTTCAATATTGTTTCTTTTCATTCGTGTCATATACTTTCATTTTATTTTTCTCATTCGTGAAAACAAAAAAAAAAAAAAATAAAATTGAAATACTTTCGTTCTCTTTTTTTAAATTTCACTTGAACATTTGATTTTTAACTAAAAATGACAACTTCTTCTTTTGACAATCATACCAATTTGTAATATCGATAGGCAATCATAATTTAAAATAATTTTATTCGGTTTGTTATTCATTGAATCATGCAAATGATTTATTCTCTGTTCTGCATGAACGACCATATCATTTTTTTAAAACCATCAGTCAAAGTATGTATCAGTAGTTCTTTAAACAGATTTTTATAAGAATGATACGATTTTTATCAGTAGCATGATTGTATCTGCATGTAATGGATGTTTTTCTATCATAAGATTAAAATTTTAACATTATAATGCATCGAAAATAAACTCTGAAAAAATCATGATTAACATAAAATTCCGTTTTTTAATGGTGAGAGAATAATCGTTTTTAAATCAGATAACACTCATTGTGTAATAGCATTGAAAATAAAGTACATTATTGAAGATTCGTTCGAAAGTGGTGTATTTAAATTTATATTAGGAGCAATAAACTAAATACAATTTTACAAAAAAAAACTATAATAGCTATTCTCCCAATGATCGTACCAATCCAAAACGGTTTTTGCCGTTCTATTATTATAAATTACCTTGATGAGTGAAAAAAAAAATCGTGTTTTGTTTTCATAAATTAGACAAAAATAGAAAACGAATATTACATCATGATGATGCTAATCTTGAATAAGGAGGATAAAAATTTCATTAATTATACGCCATAAGAAGTAATATATGTAATGCAAATGATAGGAACTGACTTGTAGTAAATCATTGCAATTTCATGAGTTCAACTTAATATTGATTGACAAAAAAAATGTTACGACTTTCTTTCGCTTCGAGACCATTTATAATAAAAATGATACAATGGTTGATATATTTTGGTTACAAAGTTTGCCATATAATTTCGCACCAGATGATATGATACCTTATCAAGTTATTTTTATTGATAGAGTTATTTAGATCCATACCGTCAATTTTATATTAAAATCGACGTTTGACCGCGGTTCATGAAAGAAAACTGGTGGTTCCCAACGGTTTAGTCCTTTTCTTTTATTACGGTTTCTTTATCATTTTTTATTCAATTAATATTCTTAGTATTTAAGAGGTCGATTTCAAATAGAAAAACTCGACTTTATTATCCCTTGTAATTCGAACTGAAGAAAAGCCACTGGTATACCGATCGGTATAATGCGTGCTATACCGGCGTTTTTTTTTTAATGAAAGTAGTGTATTATGATGGGTACTTGTTTACTTTAGACACAGCCTTCACTCTCATACAATATTTTATGGTCTATCAATCACATCAATCAGTACGAACACAGTGTTAACAATGAACTAAGACCCGATTCTGAAAAGCTGAACTTCTTCAATACAGTTTTAAACACACAAAAATTTTTGAACATAATTTAATCTACGATTGATATCAATGAGGAACAGGTTAATTTGTTCTTTTATAAGTTTTCGCATAAACTCCAGAGATGAACTTGTCTACTCCAACTCTGAGCAGAAAAAGTTTTAACTCCGAATTGGAGTCATCAATCTCTGTTCTGAACATAAATACATACCATTAAGCACTATGAATTATAACATTTATTAATAGAAATAAGACTTTTTATGATGATTAATGAGGTACATATGGATTCAATTCTTCAATTCCTTCGACTAAAATTCCTGTAATTCTAATTTACACATGGAGAAACGAATTCCTGTCTCATTTTTGAAACTAGAATAGGTGATCTTTTCCATAACCTTTTGAGCATTCAGCATAGAGAATAATAACGACTAAGTCAGTAGCATTCTATCAGTAAGCTATTTGAAACTTGTAGACAACAGTTTTTGATCAACACAAAAAATGAGAAATCCGACTAATATCCAACGTGATCTTCGGAAAAATATGAGATTAACAGAAAAAACACTTTGTATTGTTCTAATATTGCTTCTATTTTAGTTTATTGTTATTATTTTAAGATTGTAAAATACACATAAACTCTGCAATGAATACACATGAAAGAATATAAAAATACAAATTCTGTTCATAAAACAAAGATGAAAACGATTTTCGATCTAATGTTAAATTGAAACTGAATTATTATTTAATATCTTCTTTAAATAAATTTGAATTTTATTTGTAATTGATCTTCGAATAATATAGAAAAAAAATGAAGTAAAAGAAAAGACTTAATACTAATCTGCTTGACTGGTATCAGCTGTATTATTTAATTAAAAAATAAATTCTAAAATGTGAACATTAAAAAAAATAATTAATTTAATATTTTTAAAAGTATGATTTTGATTGTTGCATTTCATAATCAAAACCAATGTCTGGCGTCATTTTATTAATTTCATTTAAAACACATTGCACAAATTCTGTTGTTGTTGCTGTACCACCAATATCTGGAGTTTTCAATTTATGTTCTTGTATTGTATTCAATAATGCTTTTTTAATTACTGAACAATGTTGACCCAATCTAGACAGAAAAAAAAATATTCATTGAAAATTGTCTAAAAAAAAAAAAGTATGTCTCGCTTAAAAAAAATCACCCTAAATATTTGAGCATATTTGCAGCAGCAAAAAGAAATCCAGAAGGATTGGCTATATTTTTTCCTGCTATACCAATACCCGTATTTCTTGTTCCTTGTTCAAATATAGCATAATGATCACCATAATTTGATCCTGCAACAAAACCTGATCCACCAACAAGACCTGCACATATATTTGATATTATATTTCCATATAAATTAGGCATAACCATAACATCAAATTGACTTGGACGATTAACTAATTGCATACAAGTATTATCAACGATCATTGTATCAAATTTAATATCAGGATATTCACTAGCAATTTCACGACAACAATCAATAAATAAACCATCGCTTAATTTCCTATTTATAAAAGAATAAACGAATTAATTCTATAGAAAGAAAAATTTAGAATATTGATTTATTTTTAAATACATGATATTTGCTTTATGAACAGCAGTTACTTTTTTTCTTTTCTCATTTTTGGCTATTTCAAAAGCAAAACGAGCAATTTGAAGTGATTTTACTCGTGTTATAACTACAAAAGATATATAATTCTTTTTTATATTTAATTAAAGTTTTATTTCATACTTTTAAGACTTTCAACAACACCAGAAACAGACTAAAGAGAAAATTTTTTAACGAAATTCAATATATAAAATATTTTATACTTCATGTTCAAGTGAACTATATTCTCCTTCGGTATTTTCACGAATAACAAGAATATCAATGTCTGAATGACGTGTAGGAATAACAGGATTTGTTTTGCAACGTATTACATTAGCATAGAGATCCAGACGAGTACTGACAAAAATAAAATAATTCCATTTTTAGATTAAATCTAATTTAGATCAAAAGATTCGAATCCTACCGGAGAAGAACATTTAATGATTGAGTTGTATTTTGTGATGAGATATTTCCTAAATCATAATAATCAAAGAAATTAAACTTAAAGTGATTGATTTTATGAGAGAAAGAGAGAAATACCTTTAAGAGCTATTCCATTACGTTTAACTGCTGTTATTGCACGTTCAAACATTTCATCACTAGCTACATGACTTGATAAAGGAATATCTTCAAAATCAATTGGTGCTCGAACACATCTAATTTATTATTCAATTAAGAATAAAATGAAAAAAAATAAAAATAAAACGAATTGCTAACCGAATAGCAGCTTTAACATGTTGCATTAGTTCTGGTCCGACTCCATCACCATGTATTAATGTCACTGTATATTTACCACCATAAGCTGTTCTCCAGGGTTTCTCTGCCTACATATAATTTTAAAAAATGAAGATTAAAATCGGAATTAAAATAAATTACAAACTTCAAAAGCTACAAATCGACGAATCGATAGAATTGCTGGACATACACAACGAGCATTAATTTTAATGACTGATTGCATTCTTTTTTCTTTAAAATAACTAAACAATTGATTTTGTACTCATATTGTCTCAAAATAGAACAAGACGATACATAATTCTTCTTCTCTTTTCTGTAAGTTAGAAAATGGTCGAACAAATTAGAGATTATCCAATAGATGGCACCAAGCAACATCCAGTTAGTTTCTCGTTGAGTATATTCCGAAACACTGTAGGGAAACCTTTCGACAACAAAAGGCTATTTGTCTATTTCGCGAATTAATCAACAGTAAAAACTTAAACATTTGTATTTAACTTGATTAAACGATAGTTTAGAATGTTTTCTATCACATATTGTATAACAATCAGCCAGGAAAAGTATTATTTTTACCATTTTTGTGGATATTAATGGAGATTTTTTGCTTAAATACCCAGGAAAGAAATCCAACAAACAAAAATCATTTTCATTTCACTTGCATATTGACTAGAATTCATCTGTATAGAATATCTTTTGATGGAAATATCATAGGGCAACAATGTTCCGTACTTTTACTATCTTTATTAGTCATTTTTTTTAATACTTCACTAAATGCCAATATGCGCGTCATTTAGAACCATCATTGAGAAGAAAGTCGTCGTAGATCTAAAGAAATATAATGTATGCAGCTTTGTTCAGAGTAGAAAGGTGAGAAGAGGAAGTAACAGAATTATTTCAATTTGGAAAGAATTTCGTTTTTCTCTAGTAACGTAAAAGGAAGAATTATGATCCAATCTAAAAAATTTCAATTCGTCTGCGGCGGATAGAGATAGCCATTCATTCATACACATTTTGTTTTTGTTGGTCTCAAATAATATATTTGTTATCATTTACTTTTTCGTAGAAAAATTGAATTTTGTACAATAATTTGAAGAATTGTTGTTTTTAGATAGTCGACAAATATTTCATTTATGTATTTGAAGACTAAACGTTTTTGATACGGTTTCAACAATAAGTAAGCTTCACTTACTATAAGTTTTCTTCATTAATAGAACAATAAAATAATTTTTCATTTTTTTTATGCTATAATATCTTTCATCAATGCAGAGATTAAAGAAAGTAAGTTTTTTCTGCTAGACTTTCTTTCTAATTCTGTATTCTCACGGAGTGCTTTTCTTATTATTCTAACTAAAATCTATTTTGACAGATAAAATCAATATATTGACCAAATCTTAAACAACACACTCACTCTATATTATAATTTCATAAAAAGTTTAAGCAAAACAACAAACATAGTTATACCTGTCGCTTAATATTCTTTGGATGACTATGTGTTATCTTTCTTTATTCGTTTCTCTTTTTTGTGCTGTAACCATGAGTTTTTATCATGAGGTACATAAATAAAACAATTAAGTCACAACATGCGTTTATTTTATATATCATGCCATAATTTTTAAGATAATGAAACATTATTAAAACGAAATAATCATAGTTATCAAAATAGATTAGAACGACAAATGATTGACAATTTAGAAGAAGAGAAAACAAAAATCGACAAAAAATTTAAATGGTATGAAAATCCTGTGCTGCAAGCAAACAACTCTTTTCAAACAATAACAATAAAACATTCTTCATTGTGTACTTCTTTATGGAATGGACTTTTGATTATTGTGATATTACCTATCATTCTGGTTGCATTTATTTTATTTCTTCTTCTATGGATTCTTCCTGGATTTGGTTCGTTCTATGAACAATATGCCGAAGCTCGTGATCGAAAAAAATACTATCCACCCACAGAAGAAATGAAACCTTGGGGTCCTGATAATACTCTTATACATGTAGTACATATTCGTGCAGCAGAATCAAGGCTTCCACCTATTGTCTATGTCAGCGGCTTGGGTACTAGTATGTACGTTGTCAAACCATTGCTTCTCAAATTTGTCGAATACATGAATGAGTCTATTGAAATAGTCTCATTTGATTCTCCTGGATACGGTGCTTCTGAACCGCCTACTGATTGGAATACACAAAATACAGCCACCGAACTTGCATTATTACGACAAGTAATTGAAAATTCAAGACTTCGCAAACCATTTATTATATTCGGTGCATCAGCTGGTGCTTCATTAGCACAACTCTATCGATTGACATATCCAGAAGATGTTATAGGTATTATCTTATTTGATCCAACTCCATCGAATGTATTTGAACAAGGAAGTCCTATGGCAACCGATTTTAATCGTGCATCTTCCCTATATAGAAAAATGGCTCGTGTCGCTTCTTGGGGCTTGATGAGACCACTTGTACCTTTAATACGTTATTGTGTACCGGGCGAGTTCGGTGATATTTTTCGTCATTTACCCCGTGGTCATGTTGCTCTGTTCATGACAAAAACTGTGTTACTTAAGACTGGAAATCATTTTCGCTACTGGCATACCATCATGGATTATGTAACAAAGTTACAGGGTGATGTTACAATTCATAGACATACACCCTTGTTAGTTGTTAGCGCACTAAATTGGACCAAAAAACGACCACACGGTGGTTTGACTAAAGAAGAGATGCGTCAATGGTGGCATGATAATCAACAGCCATTCGTTCGTAGTTCTGATAATGCTGGTTTTATTTCTCGTACAGATTATACTCACACGCAGTGCATGTTGGATATGGAACTAGCAGCTAATGCTACAAAAGCTATCTTAACACAAATTCATATTAAGAGTATTCAGTGATAATCATTGTAAATTACTCATTGATGTCTATTTCAAATTTTCCACAATTTAGTTTATTTGTTTTCTTCGAAGACATAAGAACAATTAAATAGATATGTAACGTTCGATATTTTATGATTTATTCATCTTAAATAACGAATCAGATTGAAAGTTTAAAAGTTGTACAAGAAAACAAAGTGATGCCTTTTTTTTCCCTACAATGCAGTATGAGCTCAGCAAGTTTTTTCTCTTATTTCTATTTCTATTAGCATATATTTGTGCATAGCTTATACTTATTCAGAGCTGTATTTTCTAACATAAACGATATAATAAATAACGTAAAGATTGCCTTGTCTATAGAAAGTTGAACAAAATTCAATTCTAAATCATTTCATCTATTTTTTTTACTTGCTTATTTATCAAAATTTAGACTCTTTTCATAACTACACGCGTATGATTCGTCTGAATCAAGAATAAAATTCATCAGAATACTTCTTAACATATTCCATCTCAGATTAATGTGTACTCAAATTAGTAATAGCAGGCTTCTCCTTACTATCATTTTAAACATAGCATTCATTTTGAATAAAAGAAATTAGTAGTACATACTATAAAACTGATATAACAGATGAAGTTTGTGCATAGTATGATCGAGTCTAATAGATCTTCACTGTATCTGCGACAACATTTAGTATGGAATTAGATACAGTATGTTTACACACTTGAATATTTCTCTCGAGACATTTTAACAACAATTTAATTTTGGTACAAATTAAAATTAACATTTGAGTTTGACATCTCACGTTGCACAATATATGAAATATTAACTTGTACATCACTAAGAGTTCGCTCGTGGTAAGACTAGGCAAAGAAATAAGTCTTATTTATTTTTGAATACCATCGAACGTAATCCACAATCGATAAATTTTGATTTCGTCCATTTAATAAACATAATCAAGTAATGATTGAAAATTTCTAATAAAAAAAAAAGAGGCGCTGCCGAGATCTTAAATTATTATTTAAAATAAAATGTTATTTTTTTTCTTAATAACTTAATATTAATAATAATGTTCCGACGTCTGTTTGGTGAATCAAAACCAAAAGATAATAATGATCCATTTTCATCTTCTGGATCTCGTACACGTGGTATTGACGATCAACATCAAGATGCTCTTCGAACAATAAATTATTTACAACAAAGTGAAAATTTGATGGATAAAAAATTAGAAAAATTTGATGAAGAAATTGCTGATATACAAAATAAAGCTCGTCAATGTTTAGAAAAATCAAATCCAGATCGTGTTGGTGCAATGCGTTTTATTAAACGACGAAAACAACTTGAACAACAAAGAGAAAAATTATGGAACATGAAACAAAATATTGAATTAGTTAATGAACAAGTTCAAGCATCACATTTTAATCGACAAATAACTGATAGTTTAAATATTGGTCATCAACATTTAAAACGTGCACAAAAAACAATGACAACTAAAAAAATTGAGCAAATTATCGATAATATTACAGAACAAATTGATATTTCAAATGATATTAATGATTTATTAGCTACACCAATAGCAACAAATGATTTAATTACAACTGATTTAGATCTTGAAAATGAATTAAATTCTTTAAATAATGAAATTCTTGCTGAAAATATGATTCAAATTAATTTACCAACAGCTCATTCAGGACCAATTAAATTATCCAATGAACATGAATCATCATCAATGAATGATATCGATAAACAATTAGCAGAATTACAACGTCTTACGACAGGATAGACTTTTATCTTATACAATTAATAACAAAGAAATTTATTCTCAAGTCTTACATTTGTCCTTATCTATTATCAATTGATAAATATCAATATTGAGAAATTTCCATATTCCTAATTTATACTAAACTCTAGTAGTTATCCTTCTTACTTGTCCTCATTCAAAAGCATAATTTCAAATGAATTGAAATTTTCAGATGCGCGTTCGATTCAAAATATAATCTAACATAGGGACTAAATTTTTATGCTTCCATACTTCATATTCATACAGTTAATCAATATGAAACCAATAACTTGTTTTCTGTTTATATTTTTTATTTAATAGGTAGCACTTCTTAGTCTTATATTGCTTAAATTATTTTTGTGAAACTTGATTCAAAAACTGAATGTTGAAGTGTCAGAGTAAAAATTTTCATTCTCTTCCTCTCTCACAGGCCGTAACAAACATTTGACCAGAAGTTCTCTTCATCGCAAGCTTAGTCATAGAACTAAAATCTTTTTTGAGATTATTATGAAAGAAGATTGATTGTAACATACCTGTGTCTTTTTCCAAACTCACTATAACATAATACAAATAATATTTTTCATCATAGGACATATCAATACGTTAGAATACACAAATTGAAGCATGTGTTGTTGAATTCCTTGATTTATAATATATGAAGATCCGCCGTGTGTCACATTTAAATGTCGTATGCATTGTGTTAGGAGTTCTTTTTAATAGAAAAAAACATTAAATTGATGTTTATTTTATTTTGTGATGTTGAACAAATCAATGAAGATTAATATACATAAGAAAAAGAACATGAAGAAATATATTAGATAATAATTTTTCTTTGTAAGTTAAATAGAAAACACTTGACGAGACACGAACATTTATTTGAACAAAAACAAAATAAATGAAATGAGGCAATGAACAAAAAAGGAATGCATTGTCATCATTCGAATCTTTCCAGAACTTTATGATGCCCATCTTTCTAATTCAGCCAATTGATCATTCTTTGCTTTGTTCGATGGTACACTTGCTGGTTGACTATATGTTGGAATAGGATGAGCCGGAACTGATGGTAATTCAACTCGGCGTAAGTCATCTCGAAGTGCTTCTTGCTCTAATTGTGCTAATTCTTCTTCGAGTTCACGTTCATCTATTTCAGCACCAAAACCTAAAACATACAAAAATTAAATAAAGAAGAAGAAAAAAAAAACTTTCAATCTATGTTCATACCAACAGGGCTTGAAATAGCATTAGCAATTTCACTAGATAAGTCATGTTGTTCAGCTAATTCATCCATTATATCTTGAACACTATCAACATCAAGTTCTTTATGAACATTTTTTAATGCACTTGTTGCACCTTGAAGTGCAGAAAATGCTTGACCATTCATAGCTGCATTCTAAATTCAATTAAAATTATTAAATAAAAGCAAAATTTTCTTAAATAAAACTTTACTTGTAAAGCTTCACGTTGATATTCAAGTGTTGTTAATGTTCCATCAATTTGTTGTAAAGTTTTTTCTAAACGTTTTTTTCTTTTCAAAGCATTTAATGCATTACGTTTATTTGTTCTTGCATCACGACGGGCAATTCCTGTTTCTTCATTAATTTTGGCTTCTAAATGTTCAACTTTTTTATTAAGAACATCTTCGACATCACGTAACTGTTGTATTGCTTCTTGTGGAGTTTGTGCTGTTTTCATTTTAGCACCACCTTTTGATGAACCACCAAACACACGAGATAAAACACCGCTTTTGTTATTACTACTCATTGCAAAGATATATCTCGAATTATTGATATTTCGGATGTTTATGAAGAAATGACGTAGAAATCAGAAGAATGAGTTATTTGATAAACAACAACAACGGCAATAAATGAGTTATATATAGTTAACTGATGAATTTGTCATTCGAATTGTTCTTATAGCATGACTAATAATTCTCTTTTTTTATTCGATAAAGTTTTCTTTTGAAAAACATGATATTAAAATAGATGTCGCCTAAATACGGATACATAAATCTTTTGCATTAGAACTTGAATGATTTAGTAATCATTATAGAAAAAAGAGGTATATTTTTAAGTCGAAGAGGCACAATCATAAACACCCTTATACTACGAACTACTATGTCCAGGAATGTGGCCATAGCGGTACTGACTTTCATCGACTCCCATCTTTATAAAATTTTCAGTTTCTTCCAGCCAAAATCTTATTTTATCTTGAAAAAAGAGAGATCGTACAATGAAAAACAAAAGTTCAGCACACTTTGAAAACATTTTACATGTACTATTTCAGTTCTCGAAAGTTTTTTTGCCCCCCTTCTCTCTTTCCACATATTTTCTTCTCTTTGTTGTATCTCTAACTACGGCAAAAAGCAATCATCGTATTCTATAAATGTAAACGATGCCATACGTTCATATAGGAGTAATGTTTACGATGAACACAAAAACAGCTGTCGTATATGCCTATGGTACATAATCGCATATAATAGTAAGTTAGTCGGGTGTTGAGCTGTGCTTATCGAGCACATAAATTCGACGTTTTGAATTCAGCAAAGAATTCGATATTAAGTATTTATTTTTATTTAGATTAATTCGAATAACTGATTGAACAGTAATTATTTCTTTTAAATAAAGAAATAATGTTTCATGTGTTTCTTATGGACAGGAAAAATAACGTGATCCATTTTTTGCGTGAGAAGAGTGTGTGACTGTGAGTTTAGTTCGAGAGAGAAGACCTATACCCACACCTATATCTTTTGGTGCATGGCCAAAATTTGTTCCTCCAAACGTTAGATCTTCTCTTGGAAAATCTTATTGTTTTCCGTGCTGATGTAGAATTTATTCTGAACAACAAAAATCTTTTAGATCGTTCCGAGTCAATGACGAACAATGACCTAGATCTATGAGAAAAGACTTCTTTGGAATGATTTTAGAATTTTCACTTGAAAAATATTTCTTCCGACTATTTTCTCTAAATGTTTGACACATACATTAATAAGTGCAACATTTTCTAACGAATCTTGTAGCATATTTCAAGTTTCAGTAGAAATATTATGAATTTTTAAAAATTGCTTTCATCAGTCTCTTACTACTGTAGTGGACTGATTGCAGAGCTGTCACTCTTTTCAACTTTTTTTGCCGACAAGAAAATCTTATTTCAAGAGCCAAAGCGAAAGATTTTTTAGAACGAAAGATTCTCTATAAAATCAAGTTAGAACGAATTCTTTAAATTGCGTTTTAGGTTTTCAAAACGGAAAAAAGAAAGTGTTCAATTCTTTGTGGACCATTCATTATATATATTTAAATTTTCAGCACATAGATGTGGATAAATGAATAAGAGAAAAAATGGAACATAACAGAAGATGAAATTGTCCGTCATCATGCGCGAGCTGACATGGCACATACAGAAACATATTTTCGTTACAAACAAAATTTTTTCAAAATATACATGAACAGAGAAATCTTCATCTTGTTTTATTAATTTGATTCCATTGATAGGAAAAGCTTCTCATAAATCTAAACTGCAAACTATCATCTATTATCAACTCGGATTCATAAACACAAATAGAAACATCTAGTGTCGAATAATAGTAAAGTATTATATCTTGACCTATCAGCAGAGAAGTTTTCTAACGGAGCAAATGATTTATTAGGTATGATGTTAAAATATCAATAAAGGTGACTCTAGGAGTTCTCAGTTGAAAGATTGTCTTAGATATCGTACATGACTAACTATGCGATGCTACTGGAGAGCAAACTTTGTGTTATCACATAACGAAACAAAACTATGACAGGCTCTTATGATACAGATTCTGTTATCTTTTTTTCGAGTGCATGTGTCATTCACCACATGTACGTTGTTTAAGTAAAGCTAAAAAAATTTTTTATCACGCTGTAGAAAATATGAAAATAGAACGAAGACTTTCGTGTAAATAGAAACAAAGTGCATCATATGAAAATCATGAAGCTGTGAAGGCCCGTAAAAATTAGTCCGCGACAGTAAGCTTTCTAAGACTGTTGAGAGCTAAGAAAACTAATAATTAACTTTTGTTGAGTTTTAATCTAGTTCAAAACATGATGCCAACATTAGACGACATCAATAAGCTTCAATGATGTTATCAGTTTTGCCAAAAGTCAGGAGAAACTGAAGAAACATCATCATATCGTTTGATAAAACAGAATTAATAATCTTGTTCATGAGTTTGTACGAATGATATCTTATTAAATTAGAGCAAAAAAGCGTGAAATGATGAATATAATGATTTATGACTTGAAATTTTTGTTCAATGTAAGATAGAACTATAAGTTCTTCTCGAAAATCCGAATGTAGTCATAATTCTCTTGATTCTCAAAATTAATGAATGGGTGACTTTCTCTGAAGTTGCTTAGTTTTTTTTAAATAGATATTTCAGTCACAAAAATGATTCTCACGATAATAACCTGTTATTATAAGTATCATGTATTTTCTACTTTTCCATGGTACGTTTTCTTTTACCTCTTCATTATGTGTTTGGTCATATATTGTTTTTGCAATCATGATTAGGTTTTTTGACGACGCGATACAGTATTGGTATGTTTAAAAACATTGTATTTATTCACGCCTTGCTTGTATGGAAAGTTTTTAAATGAATAAGGGAGCAAGTGCTTGTTGACAATCGTATCCTTTTTCAACGCAAATTTGGGGATTGATGAGTGCGGAAAGAAAAATTTCACCTACAACTTGCATACTTTTTTTCTTACTGCTGAGTAAAATAACTTCTACCATGTTGATCATGGTCGGTCAATGTACATTAAAAGTTACAGAGAGAAAAGTCAGTAATGTCGTCACCATTAGCTGCAACAATTGGTTGAACCTCTTTCCTTTGTCGTCATTCGAAGAGAGAAAACAAAGTCAGTGCTATATGTTCATTTTACCATTCTCTTTTCCGATCATTGTGGTAGAAAATCACCAGCATATGCTCTCAATCACAAAACAGTTAGTGAAAGGATCTCTCACACACTACCAATTGATTAAATGTATCTATGATGCAACTAACATGATGGCTAACACAATGCAACAAATGAACTTATGTTTTTTTCTTCTTTAGTTTAAAATACAAAATACAAGTGACCAGATTAAGGACCTAGTGGACACTAAAAGTGTTATTAAGCTTCAATATTTTCAGTAGATTCGAATTATCAATGTGTCAACAAACCAAAAATGAAAACTCTTCTTTATCTTGATTTCCATTCGCATCACGATTAAAGACGATTGCATTTGAAAACCTCCAGATCCAGTGGAGCAACATTTCCAGAAAATGAATCAAAATCATTTTTCAAAGCTAGTCGGTACATAATTAAAAACAGATTCTTCGAAACTTTTTCCAATAACAAAAAGTAACAGTTATATGCAATCATAATGGATGGTTTATCAAAGTCTCAACAAGATCGAAGTTCTTCTCCAACTAGTCGGTACGTATTCTGATCATATTTCAATATTCCTGAATGAATTGAAAAAAGAAGCCGCCTGTCGAACTATATGGCAAGAATGATTTCAGTGACTGAAAGACGATTAATGCCGATGTGATATGGTTAGTAGTTGCAGAATGCCTACCAAGTAGAATTCAGAATTTTGTATACTTATGCATTGTTTGCATATTTAGTTCTTACTCAAATGCATAAGAAATCGTTATGTAGAATTCTGTGCCATTCTAACAATTCTATTTATTTATGAAACAGCAAAGACTCTGAGAGTGTCAAACCACGGAAAGAGGTCTGATTCTATTCGTATTCTAAAACCTGCTTAGAATATAAAAACATAAACAGAATTTTTAAGAGAAGCCTAACTGTGAGAAAGTGTATGAAAGACAAAATGTTCAGTATCAAAATTTTGTTATTCTGAGTAAAAGTTTACTTTGTCAAAGACAACGTATATGAAAGAGAATTCAGTTTTATCGAACATAGTGTAGATATATAAAATGTTCATATTGGATATCAGAATTCTGTAGTTGCTCTTTTTTAATTCGGAATAGAATCCTGTTTTATTGAAGAGAAAGTATATGAAAGATGAATATTGGACATGTTACTACCAATATCAAATTTTGTTGCAATGGAGGTTAGTTTCCAAATTCTAATAAAAACTTGATGGTTAATCTTTTCAATGTCTCGTCATAATCTAACAAAATTGTTTTATCATTTCACGTAGATCACCAGTATTGCCGTGCCTTTCTAAACTTTGATAAATAAGAACCAGTCTATATTATTACTGTAATATTTCGTCTTTTATCAAGCTCGAACGCTTCACAGTAAGATCACAGATGTTCCTTCAATAATGTTTTCAGTCTAAAAGGAGAAATCTTTGTTTCTCTTTTTGTTATCTTCCTAAAAACTATTCTGACATCCAAATATGAGTCTCAAAATAGTGTTTAGTGGCAAAGAAAAAAAGCTAAATACGAGTCAAATAATAAGGAAAGATTAGAATGAATTGCAATTGTTCAGTTTGACTCTTTCACTTGACAAGTTTGGAAAAGTCCAAGTGAAAATTGCGTCTAGTACTTTTTTTTCTCAATTTCACGTTCAAAAATAATCAAATTCTTATTTTGCCCACAGAAGCTTTTACGAAATTTATCAGGCAGTAATCGATTACTGATGATCGATTTATTTGACAATATGAGTGGCGTGGATAAGATAACCTTATTTCAGTTCGTTAGATACCAGTAACACAGAGTTCCCTGGTCGAGCAAGAACAATTCGGCTCTAAACGAACAATCACTTTAAATTTATTGGCAAGTT